AAGAGAGAGAAACATGAAACACCAGATGGCAAATTCTGGAAACAGGCGTTGCCATGGAAAAGAAGGGACTATTATATACTCTAAGGGTGCAGATAAATAAAACACTTAAATAATGGAAGAATGAAGAAAATATGTTTCAAGGGAGCTGGACATATGAAATCAACCCTAAACCTGACACCTGGTCCATTATTGTCGAATGTGGCTATGGATGAATCAGCAAGACATCTATACTCTTTTCAAGCAAACTTCCCAGCCGAACTCCTTGGTCACACAAGAGATGTTCCCCATTGCTTTAGGATACATATGCTCTGGCCACCTTTCTAACACTGAATGCTTTAAGGGCTTTGAGGTCCCAGGCTTGGACATTTGCTTGAGTATTTGCTTGTATATCAGCCTGGTCCACTGGTCCTTTAAATTCGTTCTGGACCTTAACACTGTAAAAGCAAGAAAAACTCTATGGCAGAGTCACTACAGAGTCAAGAGAAGTGCACAGGCAAGACTAAGACCTTCATCTTGTAAAGAAGGAAGTCAAGGACAATAACCAGCACTTTGGGAAAGGTGTATCACAAAAAGCAGGATCAACAGCTGTGAACACCAGTGCCCAAACACTTTCATCAGTTCTGATGTGTCATCCATGTGATGGGGCTAAAGGATCGAAAGATGAGGAGCTGAGACCTCCCTACCCTGGTCCCTAGCACAGGCCTTTTTTATTCCAAGAGAGGCCCAAAGCTCCTCTGTCAACGCATAGCTGGTCCACTAAACTATGCATCAGCCCTGATGCAGTAAACTGACTGCCGCCAAGCACCACAGTACAAATAACTTTGCTACCAAAAGAATGGAAAGTGAATGATATGGGCTGAAGGAACTCGGGGTTTTTTGATCCAACAGTGCCTGTGTTACTTTGTTTCTGGCTACGACTGCATGAGATTCAACAAGGCTAAGTGTCGGGTCCTGCACTGGGCTCACAACAACCCCATGCAACGCTACAGGCTGGAAGAGGAGTGGCTGGAGAGCTGCCTGGCGGAAAAGGACCTGGGGGTGTTGGTTGACAGCCGCCTGAACATGAGCCAGCAGTGTGCTCAG